AATACTTTGAACGTCGTTTGCATATTTGAATATTTCAACTTTAATATCGATATTACGCCCTTTTTAATAGTGATATCACGTTAGATTATTTTGCCCAACTTGTCCGAATTGTTACAATACGAAGCATGGTTTAATCCTTTTCAATACTCTGCGATTTTTGTCTTATTTTAATACTCTGAACGTCGTCTGCATATTTGAACATTTCAACTTTTCTTAACTTATTTTAAAAAAAATGTTTCTATTGAAAATCAGTCCATTTTACAGCGTTTTTACAGCGCTTCTAGACGATATGTGAAAAAAACTGTAAGCTACAAAAGAAAGGAGGGCCAAAATATTATTAATAATATAAGAGAGACATATTATTAATAATATAAGAGACACATCCGTACATATTATTAATAATATAAGAGACACATCCGTACATATTATTAATAATATAAGAGACACATCCGTACATATTATTAATAATATAAGAGACACATCCGTACATATTATTAATAATATAAGAGACACATCCGTACATATTATTAATAATATAAGAGACACATCCGTACATATTATTAATAATGTAAAAGATACAACCGTACATTACAAACCATATACAATAATTCGTCGCTTTCTTTTTGAACTCGTTGGTATGATGTCATTGGATAGAAATTATTGAGAAGTAATAAATTTATTATTTGTTTTGTCTGTGTTATACCTCAATATACTTAAAAACTGAGAAAATATTGCAATTTTGGAACCAAAAAAAATTCTCGAGGTGCGTGGCACGTCATTTCAGCACAAGAAGTTAACAAGACGACGACATAGTCACGCGAGCCAATCGAATAAGATAAATTGCATTATCATCACTGCTGAGCCAAGAGTAGAAAAAAAAAAAAAAAGGAAAAATGCTCATTTTGGCAAATATTCATTCCACGACGGTATTTTATTGGTCATGGACGAGGTGCGCCCCGTGGCGCGCGCATTCTTTCGTCCCGTAAGAATCGTCAGTGACGCGGATCTACGATTGGAACGGCGCGGCGCGCAACAACACAGTTCGTATTAACCCGCGTTGTCACGACAATAATAAGTTTTCCTGTACCGAGCCGTCGTTAAGTGGGAATTATTTTGCAATTAAGAACAGGTTGTTCCGCGGATCGAATCGATTACGATCTAATCATCGGGCCGCGGTGCCGTGGCCGCGCTGCAATTTGCCGCTAGAATTTATTCATAAAACGCGTCGATTTACTCGCAAACGCGTAAAAGAGAGGCATTCGAGCGTTGCTTAATGAGAATGCTAAACCGCAAGGGCAGGAGATCAGGGACTTTACTGGAATGCGCAGCGAAACTGCATGCACGCATGATGCATTCGTCGATCCGTGGGTGGAGGGGAGAAAGAGAGAGAGAGAAAGATGTAGGAGCGTAGGACGAATACGGTGCACTCGACTCTCGATGCACTTTTTGAACGATATTCATTGCCTGGTTCTATTTTACACATGTGTCATCGTGTAAATTTCTTTTTTAGAAACTTTTGCCACGCTTAGTTATGTTTCTGGATTTTTTTCTTTGCTTCACTGTAACGTGTAATGTTGCCTTTTATGGGTGTCTTTCCTCTCGGAGGAATGTTCTACGGATCTCTCTCTTATGACAGGCTTCGATCCTATTTGGAAAAAATGCCTTTGTATAAAAATAAAATGATTCGTTAGTTTTTATAAAAAACGTTTTATTTAAAAATAAAATGATTTATTTGATCGTTATTTTTGAAGATGGTTG